TACCTTAGGTATGAAGATCACCTTCGCTGTCCTCCATACCTCAGGGATATATGCCAATGCGAGGCTCTCTCAGCAGTCAACTAGGTTGGGCAGCAAAGCTGCTCCCCCTGTTGCAACAACGCCGGAAAGAGGCCATCCACTCCCGGAGACTTGAAGCTCTCAAACGAGGCCAGCGCCCACCGGATCGAGTCCGCCGTGAACAGCTGTTTGGCMATACTCCAATCCTCGCGGGATGGCCTGTGTTCGATCACCGGTGGACAGCGGTCCTCCCGAACTGTCTCCGGGAAGTGCGCCCTCAGGAGCTCCATGGCCCTGTCCTCCGCACTAGTCGTGAATGTCCCGTCGTCCCGCTTAATTACTAATTCTGCTCCCTTTGTGCCATTAGCCAGAGCTTTGTGCAGCCGAGCCGCTTCTGGYRTAGTGRCGACATTCTCGCAGAATCTCCTGAAGCTGGCCTGCTTTGCAGACCTAATCTCCTTATTATATAGCGTGAGATAGCTTCGGTATTCTGCCCAGACCCCCGTACGTTTCGCTCTGTTGAACTGGCTGCGTACTTTCTTGCGGAGGTCCGCTACCTCCTTTGTCCACCATGGACAGACTCGTCTGTCAGTGTGCGCTTTGACGGGACAGCTGCTATGATAAGCATTGATTACAGACTCATTTAGCCTAGAGAGCCTATTCTCCAGCCCAAGGCCTGAAACGCTATCATCTGTCTGCTCCCTTCTGCTTAAACCATTACTTAATATCTCCCTGAAGGCGTTCCAATTTGCCCTCCGAGGGTTGCGTCTAGGGGGGAGTTGTTTAACCTCTACTTTAAGCTTAAACCTTATGATCCTGTGGTCTGACAATGTGGGCTCCGTCGAAACCCTGCATTGCGAGACCAGTCCGCCTGCAGGTTCGTTGCTAAAGATGATGTCCAACACCTCCCTTCTACTTATAGTTATGAACGTGGGTTCACACCCTACATTCTCTMTYTSTAAGTTACTACCTACAATGAATTCTAAGAGAGACTCACCTCTTGTGTTGCAATCGGTGCTTCCCCATTTCACGTGGTGAGCGTTGGCGTCACAGCCTATGATG